ATTACAGTTGTTGTATATAAGTTTTTGTTAAAATATTTAAAACGTACCAAGGTTTTTAATTTCTTTCCTCTGATTGAAAAGTATGTCTTCAGTTAGATATTCCTAAGTTTTTTTCCAAATAACATGAAACAGAGATAGACAGTTTGCAAACAACATTATAGCAAAAAACCTGCAAATATATTTACTACTATACCAATTGCTGACTTCATGATTATTATATTTATAGTTGCCAGATGAACCAAATTCTAGTTCAAAGAAAGGATTCGTTAACTCGCTGCATTAACGAACATTGATCAATAAAAATTATAAACCTGCAAAAAAAGAGCTTATGATCAATTAATTTACCTTTGACGAGAGGAATGCTTTAGAAATGAGAGTGATTTATCTTCTTTGCCAAACACTTTATCATACTCTCAGTTTCTAAGCGATTTCATCACCATTAGTTGGTTTATGATCAGTAATAAATAACCTCTCTAGTTAGCAAAGATTTACCGTGATGTAGCTAATGCATTAAATATCCTAATTGTTGGGAGATGAGAAATGCGTAAATGGAAATCTCTCTGTTGCACATGTTTCTGAATATCTTAGCGTTTTCAAATTTGATATATTTTTTTATTTTTGTTTGTTTATTATTCAATGTCGAGATGATTAATATGTTACAGTTTTTGGGAGAATTGTTGAATATGATTCAAAACTTGAGTTGAAATGCAAAACTAGACCCCTTATTGCATGTTTGACAAAAATAACTCACATAAATAGTAAAATTACAACCTTGACCCTTATGACCAAACAAAAAAACGCTAGCCTCAATTACTGTTTTATTCCAGAGTCTACTCTCTAATAATTTATTTACAATTAATTAAAAAATCAAAAAAAATAATTTGGTAAAACAATTATATACATAACAAAAACATATACTTTTTACACATATTAAAAATAAATTGTGATACAAAATAATCAATTTAAATCATCATAAATAAATTATATTATAAATCAATACTAAGTAGACTTCTCGAATAGACTTATTGAGTAGACTTCTTGGAGAAGTGTACTCTCTAATAATTTCTTTACCATTAATTAAAAAAAATTAGAAAAAATTGGTAAAACAATTATATACACAACTAAAACATATACAATTAGCATTTATATAAAATAAAATTTCATGAAAATGAATCAATTTATAAGTTTCATGAGTATACAATTCAAAAGAGTTAGGGTTGATGTTTAGTGTTTAGGGTATAAGAGTGTAATTCTTAGGGTTTGCACAAATTGTATGTGAATCATAGTTTATGGTTTGGTTAATGAATTAAGGTTCATATATTTGTTATTTTAACTGTGCTTGTCAATATGGTAAGTAAATTTATGTTTTCATATAAGTTTTAATAAAAAAAATTGATTTAGGGTTTAAGGTTAAGCAGACTTCCTGAGTAGACTTCTCAAGTAGACTTCTCGGACCAAAGAAGACTTTTTGTAGACTTCTCGAGCCGAATTAGTCTTCTCCAGCAGACTTCTCGTCTAGACTTCTCCAGTAGACTTCAAAAAGAAGACTTCTCGAGCAGACTTCAAAAAGAAGTCTACTTAAACGATTTTTTTTCTATATATATAAGGAGAGTTTAACCTAATTGTATTAACAATAAAGTTTCTCTCTATCTCAAAAAATGCCTCTCTCTCGTCTCCCTTCTCTCTGGCCATGAATTTCTTCTCCTTCCTCTCTTGCTGTTAATCTCCTCTCCATCCTCTCTATCTTGTATTCAACCTCTTCTCACTTGCAGGTTATAGTAGTGGTAAGCAAATCTGAGCTTCTGTGTTTCTTTTTTTGTTTGCTTTGTGTTCATATTGCAAATCTGAGCTTATTATTAAAGATTTGAGTTTATTGTTGTAAATCTAACTTTATTTTAATAGATCTGAGTTTATTGGTGTATAAATTTTATAGATTTTGTTGTAGATCTGAATTTTGTTGTAGATCTAATTTTTTTGTTATTGTTGCAGAGCTGAATTTTGTTGATTTTTTTGCAGATCTGAATGTTATAAATATAGTAAATTATGTTGCAAATCTAAATTTTAATATTTCTCTTTTCTTATTGTTGCAGATCTGACCTTATTTATATTTATGGTTTTGTTCTATAGATCTCAACAAAGCTCTTGCTTGTCTCCGCTGGATTTAAGTGATTTGAAGGTTCAAAACATTAATTATACAGCGCCATTGGTCAGAATCAACTTCAGCCGCAGACTTCTCGAGTAGACTTCTCGAGCAGACTTCTCAGGCAGACTTCTCGAGCAGACTTCTCGAGTAGACTTCTCGAGGAGACTTCCCGAGTAGACTTCTCGAGTAGACTTCTCGAGCAGACTTCTCAAGTAGACTTCAGTTGCAGACATATTTTTCAGATATTTTAGTTTAGTAGTGATTTCTTATACTAATTTTAAGATTTATAATTAGTGATCCTTAGATGTTTGTTTGTTTAGAGGGTTATTTTCTATGTAATGTTGAATTGCATTGAATGTTTTGTATCATATTCCTAAATTATGTGTGTTTATGTATTCTACAAAATAGACTTCGCTGTAAGACTTCATATTTAGACTTCTCAATTAGACTTCTTTAGTAGACTTCTCTTGTCTCGAGCAGACTTCTCCTGTCTCGAGTTGACTTCTTAAAAACATTAATTTTACATAACTTAAAGGTGATTCGGAGGGACATTTCCCCCATTTATATTACATAACTTGTCAACCGAGTAGACTTCTCTTGTCTTCAGTAGGCTTCTCTCCAGTAGACTTTTAGTACATAGTAGACTTCTCCACTTGTTCAGATCCAATCAACACCATCATCGAATCTCTACGTAATAAAATGAGACTATATAATGATTTGGCAGGAGATAAAACAATACACAACAAGTACAATGTAAAGATTAACTTACACAATAGGGGCGAGTATGACCATGTTGCTTGAACTTGGAGCAACTGTATTACTCCACCATTGTTTCCTTTTCTAGCATATAATCCTCTTGCACCATTCCAAGAAGCTCACCATGTGTGCAACCATCTCTTAAAAACAACATTCACCCTCCTTTGCTATAATCAACCTCGAACTGCCACACTGATTCACTCCTCACCCATTCTCCATAAACAGCGGGTATGTGAACCATTCTCTGTAAGAAAAAAAATCCAAACCACATTAGAAATCAAAATGGAATAAGTAAACTTCTCTGAAAGTCGGATGAAGTCTACTTAATAGACTTCTCGAGTAGACTTCTTGGAGAAGTCTGCGATCAATAAGCTAAGTATCATATAAAACACAAAAACTGATTCGACACTACCTATAAAATATAAACATGTAAAACTTATGCATAGACAAGAACACTTATTAACAAAAGCTTAGGATCACGAAAATCTTTAAAAATCATTATATATTGTATAAAAATGAATTATTTAAAAAAACAAGAAAAATAGACTTCTCAGAGAAAAGTAGACTTCTTGCAGAGCCAAAAGATTAGTAGACTTCTCCAAGAAAGTAGACTTCTCGGAGAAGTCTACTCAGAAAAGTAGATTTCTCAGAGAAGTCTACTTTTGGAAGTCGACTTCTCACATGTCATTTTTGCAATTGACCAAGCAGTCAAAGATTTTTCAATTGCAAAAATGACATGTGAGAAGTCTACTTCCAAAAGTAGACTTCTCCGAGAAGTCTACTTTTCTTGGAGAAGTCTACTCTACAAAGTCAAAGCTTGGTCAATTGCAAAAATGACCTGCCTTTAAAGAAGTCTACTCGAGAAGTCTACTCCATTTTTTGTTATCAAAGGAAATGGAGTAGACTTCAATCGGACTAAAAGAATTTTATTTTTTTCATGCGGTCAATTGCAAAACTAACCTGGGCGTTGACTAGTGGACTTCACAATGGTGAAGAGAAGTCTACTTTCGCAGCTCAGAATGGAAAACACTAAAATTGACTGAAAATTTTACTTGCCACTAGTTTTTAGCTTTTTTTTTTGTCAAGATCTTCAATTCTAGCCACTATGAAAGAGATGCAACCGCAAAAAACAACCAACTCACCGGAATATAGAAGTATATATGAACTTCAAATTTTTAATAGTTAAATTATAGAGTTTTTGGAAAGAAAATAGCGAGAAATGAAAGTATAGAAGCTTAAGAGAAAGATAATGAGCTATCCAAGCTCAAAAATGTGTTTTTGGTGCCATTAAAGCTCGAAATTGGTTGACAATGGTGGTTGCATGAATTGATGATGATGGCATTTTCGTAAATAAGTGATAAAGATGGGGATTATTTGGTCAATTGGATATCTAAAAATAAAAGAAATTAATTTGAAGTAATGGCAATATCATAATTAATTTAAAGTAATGATTGTTTGGACACAAAATGACTAATGTTAAGAAGGTGAATTTTGTGGGTTAGATTTGCATTTTAACTCAAATTTTGGGTTATTTTTGCAAAAATCCCACAGTTCTTTGGCTTCATTGTATGATTCTTGTTTTAAGAATAAACATCTCTTTTTAGTATAAATATCTCTGCATGGACATGGTTATGAATTATGAGTTGATGAGACTACAAACTTCAAACTAAAGATCCACAATGGAATTCTTCAAAATCTTGATAATAGAAAGCTGAATCATGTTTATCATTCTTACTAAAATTGAACATTTTCATAGTGAAGTCACAGAGACACATTAGACATAGTGAGCTCATAAAGATACGAAAGAGAGACCATTTATGGAAAAAGACAAAAGATGGAAGCTATGTCAGACTCAAAAACCATTTAAGCAGGATTCTGCAACAAAGGCTGAAAATGATTTCATACGAACAAAGATGGTAGCTATTACGGTAAAATAACTAAAATATATTTTCCCCAACGGTGGAAAGCTTGTCTTTGTCTGTTGTTGTCATAAGCCACTTTTGCTTAAAATCAAAAACTTTTCAACACACAAACTTTCACACATTCTGTTATAGAAGAGAGACATGCAAGCATATATGGTTTCTGGTGAATCCTTCCATCATTCCTCACCATCTTCCTCTTCTTCATCATTATCATCTTCTTCAGAGTCGCCTTCTTTCCCCTAGAGTTTTCATTTCAAAAAAAACTTATCAGAAGAGTAGTCTCAGACATTACGATATAACAAATGATCTGTCTCAGGATAAGTCCATCTAAATTCCATCTCATGATATGTTTTTTTATAGAAGCAGTAATATTTTCAGCAGAAACTCAACCAATCTGGGGAAATTAGATGACTTTTTTACCTCATTTCCATCATCATCTCCCTCAAAATCCTCTTCATCAGCAACCTACAAAATTGCATATAACATTTTACCAAAATCTTCAAGTAACTTAACTGCTCTATACAATGTTAAGATTGGACAATAAAAAGGTTTAATAGCTTACATTTTTGAAGAAGGTGAGAGGGTTGGGCCATAGATCTTCCTTGATGACATCCGCAACCTGCTACAAAACGAATTTCTGAGTTCAAATTGGGCCAGACGTTATATTACTCTTACAAACACGTCATAGTAATATACGATTATTACCTCGTCTTGAATCTCCTCCTCAACGTCCTCCTTGTGTTGAGCATCGCTAAACCAGGTAAAGAAACTGAAAAAGACAGTCAAGATGGAGTCAATTGACATCTAATTGCTAATAAGAAGAGAGGTTTAAGTCATCATGGTGCCACGATTTTTTTAACTTGGATCTATGAGTGGGTGCAGATTTACTTAATTGAGGAGATGAACTATATACCTCTCTTCAGGCAATGCACGTTTGTTTTCTTTCTTCTCGTGATTCACTCCATTTGGCAAGCCCTTTATAATTGAGAAACAGAGTTTAAGACTTAAGAATAAATCCCAAAGATTAATAATTTCAAGAGTTGAAAAAAAAAAATTAATAATTTCAAGAAACAAACTTATGTCGTGCAATATACATCTAGTTACCTTGCCCTCTTTCCATTGGATAGGCGTGGCTGTGATTTTGGTAGTCCCTTCTTCGAGGAAGTTAAAAATCTTCGTTAGTTTTCCATCCTCAAAATAGGGGTTGGGGCTGAAGTGCTGTAGTAGTTCACAATTCAACGACAATCAGTAAACTAAGAAACAAAAAACTCATGCTTGACTTTCTTAGATCAATCAAATAATGTGAAGGAGCTTACAAAAGTGATCGAGTATCCAGATTTCACATCTGTCACATCCTCAACATCCAGAGAGCTAAAATATATGAAAATAGTCAGAAAATTGAATCAAGAGGTAAAAAGTGAATGAAAATGGTGAATCAATCAAACCAACGCTTAAGAAAAACACAAACCTTTTGGTCTTCATCTGTCAAACATTCAATTATTGTCGAGAGGAGAGAACACTTACCTCTAACTTTTGGCTTTCGGCTATAAGACCCATTGATTGTCGTAACTCTTTTACTTTAAGATCTGCTCTAGAAAGCAAAGGAGGAGTTTATACTTTCAACGATGATTACAAAACAACACTGAACCTCTTCGCTTAAGAACATGCGTAAAGTATTGTAATACACAAATCTTTTTGTCTCTGCAAACAGAACGTAGCATTCATCAAAACAGTGATATCCTAGGAGGAATGAATAATAGGGAGAGAAAAATATGCAGAAAACATAATTTTCAGAGCAAAAATCCCAACCCCAAGAGCTAAGACCAACTCCAATGGTAACACTAAGAGCATGAGTATTGGAGAGATCCATAAGTTTCTAAATGATGTGGCATATTAGTAAAAAGAAAAAAAAGAGAGAAAGAAATGATGTGTCAATAGAATCGACTCTCACAGAGGAGCTATATAAATGATTCTAACAAAATTTTAATAATAAAATATTTAAAGAGCTTCAATCACCAGCTCTGCAATACTGGTGTTCTAAGGGATCTAATAAATGTTCTCAAGAATATAATAGAATAAAGAAATTATAAGGAATGTCTTAATTTTTAGACCAAGGTCTAAATTAGTATCTTTTTTTTATTTAAGAACGAAAACGTGGCGAATTATGAGTGGACAAGAAAAAAATTAACATAATAAAAAAAAAAATCTTTCAGTTGTTTCAACTATTGAAAACTGATTTGGTTGACCATATATGACAAAAATTTGGCGGAAGTGAAGATTATAATTTAGCGATTTTTCTAGTTTCTGAATTGCACTTACGTATTATATGTTTCTATATATTATATTTTTGAAAATGTATTATGTTTTAAAAGTTATTAACATAAGTTTTTACTAAATTTTATTAAATTTTTTTTTATATATATATTTTTTCAGACACCCATCAAAGTGTCTCTATTGTAGGCTTAAAAACAACAAAATATTACAAAATGTCTTATACACATAAAATACACTAAATATTAATAATTAACCAATAAGACCCCTGTTAATAGTATCTCCATTGGGGTTGCTCTACGGTGCCTGATATTAGCGGACGAGATACAGCAACGTTCACACCGTCTGTATATCAAACAGACCTTTAATCTTACGAAACACTATATGCCCGTAAACTTTATACTCAGAAGCAATGTCTTTAAGAGAATCATAAATCCTCAAACAGTATACTCAATTGCATTCTCGTCTTGCTGTAAGAAAAACAGAAAATAGAAATCAGCGTTTTGAAGAACAAATCATCGTATACTCGGCTTAAACCAATGAATTAGAAAACAAAACTTACAATAAGTTTTGGAAAAGAGTAATCTGCGCATACACTTTCGGTGTCCGCCACGGTATCCCTCTCCGGCGGCGGAAACAGTTCTGTAATCCTTTGGGTCACTGTAACCGGTGGAGAGAAAGTTTTCTCCTCCACTATTTCTTTTCATCAAAACCTCTGAACTCGCCATACCATGGTAATCTCAAGCTTAGATCTGTGTCGATGGTAAGCCCTTCCGATCTGCAGAACCAGTCTTCTCAGAATTAGACGGCCGATCGAAGGGTTTATCACACATAATCCTGCTTAAATGTTGATGATAAGAATCGCAAGTTGGAAATAAGAAATCGAGAAAAACAGATCAAAGTAAAAATACCTCTACGGGAGGTAATTCTCGTATGGTCCTCTCTCTCGTTGTTAGACAATTCGATGGGAGTGCAGCTAGACAGGGAGATTGATTGTGAGCTCTCTTCGATTTCGCCCATGAGAAAACTAAATTTTCTCCAAATTTATCCCGATAAATAGATAAATTTGATGAATATTTTTCAAAATTTTCTTTTTCTGAATCAAAAAATAGCAGGTTACATTTCTAACCTGACATTGTTTTGTACTATCTTTCTCTGTCGAAGCTATACATAAACATTTTTTTAGTAAACAAGCACGGGATACTTTGGCGTTACCGCCATTTCAGTTTTGAGATATTTTCTAAAATTTCTTATAACTATTTTTGTTATTTGGGATGAAAACCCAATTACATGGGCCCAGACACCCATGGGCCGAATCAAGTCGAAGCTGCTGAGTGAGAAAGAGTGTTTTAACTATTGCGATCTCCGTCACTGATGACTGGATGCTCCTTTAATGGTGTGTGTGAAATTGTTAAACACAGACGGCATTCATGATCAAAACTTTGGCTGTAGCTTCTTCTAATCGCATCTTTTGCCCCAAATTGTCATCAATCTTCTCTTCTTCTCATCACATCTGTAGATTCTCAATCTCCGATCGAACCTTCTCAGCGATGGCCGGAGCTGTCGGCGAAGAGTTCGTTAAAGGAAATGTTTATCCGAACGGTGTCGCTCTCATCACTCTCGATCGAACCAAAGCTCTCAACGCCATGAATCTCGGTAACTGCTTTTTTTGGCTTCTTCTTTTTGATAAAATTTTCTCAGGTTTAGTGTGCAATTGAATTCCAAATCCTATTCAAAGTTGCGGAAACTGGGCTGTCTCTCTTTATATGATTGTTGGTAGTGTGATTGTGTTTTCTTTCATTTCTCAATATGGTGAATCAGACTCATTAAATTGTTGAAATCAGCTTTTGTTGAGTAGTTATAAAGTTTTCTCAAGTTTAGTGTGTAATTGAATTTAAAATTTCAGAAACTCTGTTTTCTCTCTTTATATGATTGTGAATTTTTTTCATTTCCCAATTTGGTGAATCAGACTCATTAACATAGTTGAGATTATATGAAATTTTGGCTTTTGTTGAGTAGTGATACCGTTTTGGGATTTTGTTAGAGAAATCAAATTGTTAAAATTGGCTTTTGAAAGTTTTTTTTTCTAAAAAGATAACTGATTATTGCAAATATAAGAAGCTTCAAGATCTAACATGCATTATGATATTACAGATATGGATTTAAAGTATAAAAGCTTTCTTGACGAATGGGAATCTGATCCGAGAGTCAAATGTGTTATCGTTGAAGGAAGCACACCTCGAGCCTTTTGTGCAGGTAAATACAAATTTTGTTATTTTATGTGGGAGCTAGTTACTAGTTTGTATCGTATAATGTAGTTATGTTGCATCTTGGTCTTAATCATGTTTGAAATCAAAACTCTTTATCCGTCTGAAAAAGTTTTTTGGAGTGACCATTTATGAATGGTGCAGGGATGGATATTAAAGGAGTTGCTGCAGAAATCCAAAAGAACAAAAACACACCTCTAGTGCAAAAGGTTTCTAAATATGTCATTCCTTGCTCATATCTATCTTAAAACATTTGAGATGCTAGAATTATGCAGTGTAGTCATTTTTCTTGGTTATTTATGGGGTTCGTTATTGTTCGTTATTGTTGCATCATAGTAGCGTCTTTAGGCGAGAAGAGTAAGAACTATGGTCTAAGTTTAACTGCTGATGGTGATTGAACTAGTTAATCACCAAAAATCAATTGTTAGATTGCTTGTGTAGTCTCTGTCATTACTCATCACTATTTGGAGCCTATCTATTAAGACGAAAGACTAGACGAGAAACCGAAACTAATATGAAATCATCTCAACAATTCAGGGCATGCTTTAGAAAAACAACACTCATTAACGATTTGCAGTACCTTACATTACAGAATATGCTCATTGTTGAATAGCACTTTTATTCTCTCTACTGAACTTAATGAATGCTTTAACTATCTTGATAAGTTTAAATGGTGTACTGATTTAAGTATATAGGCTGTAATTCTATTCTTCGATATTTCGTTTCCTTAGGTATTTACAGCAGAATATACCCTGATATGCGCAATTGCTGGTTACAAAAAGCCATATATCTCATTAATGGATGGTATAACAATGGGATTTGGCTTTGGTCTTTCTGGACATGGTCGCTACCGTGTGATAACAGAGGTACAAACAAATAAAGACTTGTCCTACACTTTTTTATATCAGGAAGTAATTGGAATTACCAACTTGATTCATTTTCTCAAATTTGGTTTCCCATTCCAGAGGACGGTTCTTGCCATGCCTGAAAATGGAATCGGCTTGTTTCCAGATGTCGGGTTTTCATATATAGCAGCTCATAGCCCTGGAGGAGGATCTGTTGGTATTCATTTGCAAATCCTTAAACTGGCTAAAGTTTTTAAAGTGCTACTATATTAGCTGGTTGTTATCTAAGAATGCACAAAATTTAGGGAAAAATTGATGATTGTTTGGTTGAATCCTTCCAACTTTTGTATGGAGTGTGGGATTCATGTAAATAGACACCTGTTTTTTGTTTAGTGTTGGTCTATTTACTGTTTCTAGAATCCGAAAGCAAAGCTCAACGCAACTTTTCTGCGACAAATGTCTCTGCAGGTGCGTATCTTGGTTTGACGGGAAAAAGAATCTCCACACCATCAGATGCACTGTTCATTGGTCTGGGGACGCACTATGTACCATCTGAAAAGCTAGCTTCATTGAAGGAAGCCATTTTGTCAGCTGTCCTGTACGACCTTCTCTATCTCCTTTCTTCATCTTTCTGTCAAAACGGTTTTGCTCATTTCTGTTCAGTCTTCATGGACTCTGTTACTCTCTGTATAACTTTTTTGTTTTCTCCAATTTTCTCTGTTTTATGTCTTATAGAACTCATACATATTCGGTGATGCAGTTCTGAGGATCCTAATCAAGACATCCAAGCAACTTTATCAAAATACAGCGGCAATCCTGAATCAGAGGCTCATCTCAAGTCGCTTTTGCCTCAAATAGAGTCAGCCTTTAGCTCAAAGAAGTCTGTTAAAGAAACAATCGAAGAGCTCAAAAAGTACCAGCAAAGCACTGAGCCTTCAGGTATGACCATTATTAGTATTCGTGTTGGAACCATTCTAAGTTATAACTTTTAAGATTCTAATCGATACCTTACCATTGGAAAAAATGTTGGCAAAAATGTTTGACTGCAGTTGTAGAATGGGCTAGTGAGGCACTCAAAGGGTTGGAGAAAGGAGCACCGTTTTCTCTTTACCTTACACAAAAGTACTTCTCCAAAGTTGCTTGCGCCAAGGATAAAACCGAGAACGAATTAGCAACAGTGAGTTTCAAACTCTTAAAAATATTTCTATTATGTTTTCCTCCTCTACGAGACTTAAGAACGAATATCAATTTCTTTCGTGAAGCTTAATGGCGTGATGAAAACTGAATACCGCATAGCGCTAAGATCTGCCTTGCGTGGTGATTTTGCTGAAGGCGTTAGAGCAGTTTTGATCGATAAGGATCAGGTTAGTTCATTGTATTAAACTTTCTAGAGTAAACAAAAACTGATACTCTCTGAGAAAACTTCATTGCAGAATCCAAAATGGAACCCAGCAAGCGTTGAAGAGGTAGACGAAAACGAAGTCGAAGCTCTCTTTAACCCATTAAGCCCTGAAGTGGAAGAGTTAAAGGTGGTTTGATTCTCATTTTGCTTTCTGTTCAAAGTGTGTCCACGAAATAAAACAAATCTATAGCCATGTGTTGAAGAAGCTCTTTAGCCATGTGTTGAAGAAGCTGTTACTGTAGAAAACTTCAATAAATAAAAAAACTTCTCTTTGTAGACATCAACACAACAATAAAGTATTTTCAAGCTTTTAGGAGATGACACTTCAGAAAAAAAAACACCAATAAAAACATTTCAATAATACAAGTCATCAATATATTTTAACTTTTAAGTTTAAATCCATTAAAAACCTAAATATGTTTTATTGTTAATTTTAGTTTTATTTTTTGGTCAAGCCCAAGCCCAAATAATAAATAACAACAGATAAAAAAATTATTTTATTTTGTTGCCAAATCCAAATAATAAATAACAACAAATAATAAAATTAAATTTTTGTTTTATATTTTTGTCAAATCAAAACTCAAATAATAAATAACAGCAAAAAAATTAAAATTTCTACCTATGTGTTTGCTTGATAAATATGTATATGATTGAAGAAAGTGTAGACTCATCATCAACTATGGTTCCATAACAACAATGCAAAAAACGTTATGTTATAAGAAGCTCACACATCAGCAAAAATTTGAACCAATAAAAACATAACAATAATACATATTATTAACACACTAATAAAATCAATTTACTATTTTGCTGACCCATTAAAAAGCCCAAAGTTTACAAAAAAAATGGAAGGCGAAAGCAAATTAGGAGAAACTTAGACCACCACAGCTTGGAGATTCGCATTTCCAATGGTTACCGAGAACAAATTTTCTTGGGTTTGGCGGAAATAGAGAATTTCTTGGTTTTGGTAGAAAAATGTGATTTTCAGTTTTGGTAGGAAAACATAGTTTCTCGGTTATGGCGGAAAAAAGCGAATTCTCGGGTTTGGCAGAAAAATGTGAATTTTTGGTTTTGATGAGAAATAAAAAATTTGATTTTGACGAGAAAACGCGAGGGAAATACAACTTATCAATTTTGACGAAAAATACGATTTCTCGGTTTTGATAGAAAATGCAATTTTTCGGCTTTTGATGGATAATGTAATTTCTTGATTTTTGCGGAAAATTGTAATTTGACAATTTTGGCAGAAAATGCAATTTTTCGGGTTGATAGAAGAGCAAAATTTCTCGATTTTGGCAGGAATAAACAATTTCTTGGTTTTGATGAGAAATGCAAATTTTCAGTTTTTGATATATAATTTGATTTTTTGGTTTTCGAGGAAAAATATGATTTCTTAGTTTTTGCGGGAAATGCAATTTCTCATGAGATAATACAAGTTTTGGTTTTCGCGGAAAATTGTAGTTTATCGGTTTTGGTAGGAAGACGTGATTCTTGATTTGAATCTTTTTTTCTCGTTTTGGTGGGAATAGACGGTTTTTGCGGAAAAATATCTTTTTGGTTTTGACGGGAAAATACTATTTTTTGTTTTTGCAGGAAGATGAAATTTTTTGGTTTTAGTGAAAAAACTTGATTTCTCTATTTTGACAGGAAAACACAGGTTCTAGCGGGAAAATGTGATTTTTTGGTTTTCGAGGAAAAATGTAATTTCTTTGTTTTGGTAGGAAAATGAAATTTCAGGTTTGACGAGAAAATGAATTTTTTTTCGTTTTGGCGGGAATAAGCGATTTCTCAGTTTTGTGGGAAAATATTTTTTTTGTTTTGTCGGAAAATGCAATTTCTCGGTTTTTGTAAAATAATAAAATTTCTCTGTGCTAATTTTCAAAGTTACAATATGTTTATAGTAACCAAAATTGAATTATTTAACTTCAACTAAATTGATATTTCAACAGCTCAAATAGAACTTTCTATTTAGTTCTAAAGTAATAGTAATGATTTTGATATGAATGTTATTTATTGATTATAGTTTGGTAGTTTTAGAAACATATGTCTATAATAAATATTTGATAAACAAATAAATTTTATAGTTTAAAATAATCATATTAATTAATATTTTTTCAAATAGCAATTTGCTTTATATATTTTCAAAAGAGGATCAAGTAGCAATTTAATAGAGAAAATAAATTACATTTACAATTAGCATGAAAATACTTAAAAATGTATTGTTTTATTCTTACATATACATTTATAGATAGTTAACTAAACAAATTTGATAGTAGATTAAAATTTTAAAAAATTAATGATATATAATATTTATTCAGATTTAAAACATATAAATACATAACTTAAACTAATAAAAAATAAATATAATACTCATTTACATTATAGAAATAATGTTATTATATTTAAAATATATACAAATCTAGAAAAAATATTCTGCAGCGTAGGGAGTTTAAATACTAGTACATCTTAAAAGCAAACGATGAAATCAAGAAGTAGAGTTATCGAAAGTAGATCCGACGTGGTAAATTACGAATCCATAGATTTTGCGTTTCAGCCGCTCAATCTTGACAAAATATTCCGCAGCGACGTCGGTTAAAGATATTGTACCGATCTGGTTTTCTCGGTCTGACATGACCCGGTCCAGCCAAGCATTGACTTGTTTCAGCTGAGACAGAACCGCAGCTATGGAACCACCATCTAAAGGCCGTACCGATGCTGCATTTTTGTTGTCTAACGAATCTTCCACGAACCCAATGAACCATATTTGCATTTCAGTTTGTACTTTCGCTGCGAATTTAGCCGTCTCCTTAAAGCCATCTTTGTCTGTCCACATCCCAACAATATTGTCTGAAACCAACGCCACAATACAAAGTTTACATTTTGGTTCTGTTACAATTGAAAATGAAAAAATTGTTACAATTGAAGCCCAAACCTGTCTTCGTAGGCGTTAGTTTCTTCAGAGACGATGGTGATTCGCTTTTCACTAGTGAAACCACGTCGAGGTTAGTAGCTAATGCAGCTTCAACCCAAAGAGAGATTGAGTTTTGTTGATCCGATGATGACGAGCGGACACAGACTTCTGAAGCTATCTGACTGTATTGCATGACGTCTTCATAGATTGTCAAAAACTGGTTAATGATTCGCAACGGATTATCCATTTTCGAGATAGAAGAAAGTTCCGAGAATTTACTGAAACATCCACCAATGCAACGTCAAATGAGTGAAAGACAAAAATGAAAGCTTAAACAAGATTGATTGCAAGCAAATGTTCAAAAAAAAAAAAAAAAAAAAAAAAAAATTGATTGCTAAAAAGTTTCTAATTTAGTTTTGTTTACCTTAAACATCTTATGATGCACTCATTTGCATTAGCTTCCTCCAATGCTTTAGCTGCAGCTTTAGCAGCAAAGTCCCTTCTTTGCATAGCTTCCTGTTAAAAATCAATACGCCCAAGTGTCTTTAGTCTCAATGTAGCTCAAACTCGTAACACGAAATGAAGATACAGTCAAGTGTCTTTAGTCTCAATGTAGCACAAACACGTAATGAAGATACAGTCAAGAGTCTTTGGTCTCAATGTAGCTCAAACAAACATGAAATGAAGATATATTCAAGTGTCTTTAGTTAGCACAACCACAAAACACTGTCTCTTTACCTTTGCAAGTTTTGCAAGATCTCCTGAAATGCTATCCAATGGAACGCTACCATCTGTCCATTTCCGATCATGATAAGTGATACCAAGTCCTTCAAAGGCTGAGACTTCTTCTACTAAGCTACTTTCTGACGAACACGACTTCGCTTTCTCTTCACACGCCGAAGTAGAATCACTCTTTCTCCTATTTGCATCACTGAGACGTCTCGACATCGCAGCCTGAAACAAATTGTAAATTATAAATCTCATTCCATCACACAGAACACTCATGTTTCATTCACTAAAACAGTAATTTGGCACATAAGAGATGTCGTTCATAAAATTACACAAAGTTACATTCACTACAATTCTAAAATCATGAGTGTTTCTTGATACCTGAGTACGCAAAATTGCTTTAAGATCTGGCTTATTCTTAACACTGCCTTTCTCCTTCGGCTCGTTTTGAGCATTTCCATCAGCAGAAGCAACAGGTTCATCCCAGTTTTTTCGATTACAATTCTTTGCAGAAGATCCAACAAGAGCTTCAGAGACTTTAGATATTCCGGCTGCAATCGCCGCCATCTTCTTCTTCCCAGAAGAATCTCCGACCAACGGAGACATTTTCACACCACTTGAAAGCCTTCTTCCTGGTGAAATCGACATTCTTCTTCCGCTAGGAGATGGATTCAGTTTCCTTCCATAAGGTGATGGCTGTCTGTATCTTGAAGGCACAACAATCGCTGGCTCTCTTGAAACCTTTCGATTCTCCTCACGCGCCGCCGCAAGGCTTGGCACTACACATTTCGACGGGACCGGAGAGGCAGATCTCCTACCTTTCCCAGAAACCGCCGGTGATGGATCTCTCTCAATTGTCACTGTACCGGAAGTGCTCTTCTTTCCCGATGAGACTGACCGCTGCTTAGACGATGCTGGTGACGAGAATCTGTGTGGCGTCTGCTTAGATCTTTGATTTCGGTTTTGATTATGATTATTCTCTTCGTTTTGGTTCACCGGAGCAAGCGGTTGTCTAACACTGGGTTTTGGAACCACCGCATCGCCGTCGTCGTCGAATCGTTTGTTGTTTAAGTAAACGGCGATGGGGTCAAGCGAGTACTCGGAATCGGAAACTGGCTGGATGATGAAATCACGTTTAGATCCAGGAGATACTCGTGCGATTAGCGGCTCCGGAGTTCCAACGAAGGCGTGGCGTCCAGCGACGGGGCGGATTCCGGCGGCGCGTGGGACTGGGGCGGCGAACTCGAGGCGGTCGAGGTAGATAAACTGGCCGAGCTGGAGACGGTTGCTTAGGATGAGATCTGTGTCGCGTTCGGAGAGAGAGACGTAGGTGGAGTTAAGAGAGTCGGAGATCTGGACGTAGAAGCCTTGATTGGGCCATAGATCGGAGCCGGCGAGGGCTGGTACTATCCCGGTGACTTGTAGGATTGCAGATCTGTGGTCTCCGGTGGGGCGTGTGCCCGAGTTCATGCACTGAAGGAGTTTTAGGAGGATTCCGGGCGCAAGAGACGCCATTTTTTTAGTCGGTGAGCTCTGTGAAATTTGAGTGTCAAGAGGAAATTGGGGATGGAGAAGAAGAAGAGGAGAGATAAAAGAAGTTATTGAGCGATTTCGGCCGTTACGATATTCAAAATTTGAAATCACTTTTAAAAAAAAAATTTACTTTCAATTTGCAATTGATGTCCGGAATTGCCTTATAACGGTAACAGAGAAATGTTCAAGTTGCGATTAAGAGATCAATATTTGGCTCGCACGCATAAACACTTTTAAAAATTTAATTATATAAATATAATATCTAAATTATTATAAATATTTTAATTTTTTATAATATATAAAAAATTAGGTAAGGCGATTAAATTATAAGTTCTAATAGTAAAATATGGTATAATTTTAACTAAACATTTCATTATAACGAAATGCCTATTTTATTATGTTAAAGGACCAAATGGGTCAGACCCGTGAATAGCTGGTTGAGCGGGTTACCTGCTGCGGATTTGCGGGTCAGGCGTACATACCTGCAAATTTCATCATCATCTTCATCTTCAATTAATCTTCCTCAATTTATCCAGTTATTTAGCCTCTAAATTCTCGAAGACTTCTTCGTATAAAACAAATATTTGAACTAAAATAAATTAACCACAGAAAATTATTTGAACTTAAATATATTCCAACTTCTCTTGTATATTTGTTTAGCTTTTGTTTTGTGTGGACAACAAAAATAAGCTCTTTAGTTAAACATTGTTAAATTTATGTTACTTTGGATTATATAGTCGGTGCATGTGATGAAGAAAATTCTCATAATTTTTATACAATTTGATGATACAATTAATGTTGCTTTGGATTATATTGCGGAAAGAAAATCTCAAGAAGACTGTTAAAAGTAGGTAATCATACTTCGGTTAACAAAACGTGTATACTCTAACTTCTCTTTGTATATTTATTTAGCTTCTGTTTTGTGTGGACAACAAATATGTGTTCTTTAGTTAAACATTGTTAGATTAATGTTACTTTAGATTATATAGTCGGTGCATGTGATGAAGATATAATATTTATACAATTTAACGTGTAAAATTTTTGCATGTAATAAAAAATATAACATATGTTTTGTGCATGTGATAAAAAACGACGGTTTACAATTTATAATAATAATTAAATATTTTATATTTTACAGTTTTCAAAAAATAATTATTTGAACTAAAATAAATTAAACACATAAATTTTTTGTTGCCATGTCATAATCCACATGTGTTAGAAAATGCCATGTTACAATTACATCATCATTACACATCATCATTCTCATGTCACATTTAATTGGGTTAGATTGATGTTTTTAACCAATAAAATTAAAACAAATCAGCATATTTCATTAAACTACATTGTCAATTAATAAGTAGAGGATAGTCAATTTACATAATATGTGGGCGTATGATTTAAACAAATACAAAAATTCAAATCCAAAGTTAAACTTATGATTTTGTAAAATCAATATATTAAATTTAAAAATCAATAAATTTTACAAAGATTATATAAATTCTTAAATCAACTAAATACATAATTTTCTCATTTCTTAGAATTTTACTTATACTTGATACAAAATCACATATTCAAACATCATTACTTGATGAAATTAATAAATGACATAAATATATATACGACAAATATTATTTATAGACTAGTTATATAATTCGTGCTACGCGCAAGTCTGTATTAATATTTTGGTTTAATTTTTTTAGCTATGATCTTTAAAATTATTAAAAATATAATATATTTATAGAAATTTTCATTTATAGAAGAGAATTTAATATATAATGTGTAATTTATCCTATTTTTATTTATAAATTTTTAAAAGACTATTATGTAAAATAATAACAATGACATCTATCGAATTATCCAACTTTGACGTACATATACATTTGATTTAGAGAAATATAATCTTGCTAAGATTTTGATATTATTTTCTATTTTTCATAGAATTTCTATAGTTCTTTTTTTCTTGAAGGTTTATGTGTTCAAATATTTAGTTTTTTATTGAAAGTCTTATTGATGTTGTGTACCACTGCATATATAATCTATGATTCATGTTGATTCACATTTAATTTTGTTAGGAAGCTGTAATGATCATGCAAAACCATTTTTTCCTTCTCCATCATGTCTTCCAAGAGTTTTATGTTATATTTTTATTCAGTTTTTATTATTTTAATTGTTAAATCCAGTTGTTGTAAATTTTTTTAAAATTGATAATGGTTATTTTTTTTAAAACATGTATTGTTAATTGTTAATTTTTTTATTTAACTTTTAAAATTTTAAACCATATTAACATTTTAAAGTATTAAATTTTACAAGTTTTCAAATATGGGGATCCAAACAATCATTTAGACATGATCTCTGGGAAAGAATAGAGCGTTTAAATCAAAACAGAAACGGACCATGGCTACTAGTTGGTGATTTTAACGAAATTTTATCAAATAAGGAAAAGGAAGGAGGACCTCCACGAAGTGAACGAACTTTCCAAGCTTTTCGTAATATGTTTCACTCTTGTGATTTCTCCGACTTAAGATACAAGGGCAACAGATTGTCCTGGCGGGGTATTAGAGGACAACATAAAGTTCGCTGTTGTCTTGATAGATCTATCGCAAATTCCCAGTGGCTTACAACTTTTCCGGGATCAGAGGCTGAATTTCTTAAGTTCTGTGCTTCTGATCATCGACCTTTAGTAACAACAGTATCGATTGATAATTGCTTCATCCAAAAACCTTTTCGTTTTGACAAAAGGCTTCTTCAGAATCCAGATTTTAGAACATATATACAACAAGGCTGGCAGTCCCGTTCAACAATTAGACATTCTATTACCGATCAGATTATGGATATTCAACGAGCTATTATCCAATATCGACGACATTTTAAGACCAACTCAGCCAAACAAATAGACCGGTTACAAACAGAGTTAGATATCGCGCTTACAACTGCTGATTCAACTACATACAATATCTCAGAAATTCGAAGTGCACTCGTCAAAGCTTACAGAGATGAAGAGATTTATTGGCATCTTAAGAGTAGAAATTTGTGGTTGGCGGAAGGAGATAAAAATACAGCTTTTTACCATGCTGTCACAAAGATACGATATTCCAGGAATACAATCCACAGAATCAAGGATAATTTTGGAGATGTTTATAAGGGAGATAGAGAAATTGGAGAACATGCGGAGTTATACTTTTCAGAGATGTTTTCCAGTGCAAAAAATACAATTGATCAAACCATTTTTGACAATTTCAACGTCACTGTAACTCCCGACGTTAATGAAAGTCTAACAAGACCTATAATAAAAACAGAAGTGTGCGATGCAGTATGTGCAATTGGTGCGGATAAAGCTCCTGGACCTGACGGCCTCACAGCTCGTTTTTATCAGCAATGCTGGGATATTGTTGGAACCGATGTCACAAAAGAAATCCTTCGTTTATTTGCCACTTCAACTATGAGCGCCGACCTCAATCATACAAACATATGTATGATTCATAAACTTAAACACCCGGAAACTCTTGCTGACTACAGACCCATTGCTTTATGCAACATCTTGTATAAAGTTATTTCTAAGATTCTCGTTACTCGACTAAAAATGTTCCTGGCCACAATAGTGTCTGAATCGCAAGGTGCTTTCGTACCTGGACGATTAATCTCTGATAATGTTTTAGTTGCTCATGAACTGTTGGATTCCCTTAAAGCTCGCAAAAGAGTTTCACAAATGTACATGGCAATCAAAACAGATATGTCCAAATCCTATGACCGAGTAGAATGAAATTTTCTTGAAGATACTATGAGAGCTTTTGGATTTAATAATATATGGATTAGCTGGATTATGGCGACTATTCATTCAGTTAGTTATTCAGTTCTAATTAATGGACGCCCCCACGGTCATATTATACGACAACGCGGTCTAAGGCAGGGAGATCCGTTATCCCCTTACTTGTTCAATTTATGTGCCGATATTATGAGTCATCTCTTGGATCAACAGGCCAGAAAAGGACGGCTAAATGGTATCAAAATTGGCGTTGGTGTTCCCCGCGTCACCCATCTACTTTTTGCTGATGATTCCCTCTTCTTCTGCCAAGCAAACGAAAAGAATTGTTTGGCAATAAGAGATGTTTTCCAACTGTATGAAAAGTGTTTGGTACAAAAGATTAACCAACAAAAATCAATGATAACGTTTGGCTCACGTATCCATGGACACAAACAGGATCGTTTGAAACATTTGCTAGGTATTAAGAATACTGGTAGCGGTGGCAAGTACCTTGGCCTACTGGAACAGTTTGGCCGTAAGAAAAAAAAATGTTCTAAAATATTATTCACCGTGTTAAACAAAAAACTTCCTCTTGGAGTGCCAAATTGTTATCCCCTGCTGGAAAGGAAGTTCTCTTGAAATCGGTGGCCCTATCTATGCCTGTATACTCTATGACATGTTTTAAGCTCCCAAATCAGATTATTTCTGAACTGGATAGCCTCCTTACACGATTTTGGTGGGGAAAAAATCCAGATTCCAGAGGGATCCCGTGGGTAGCCTGGAAACGTCTTCAATATATTAAACAAGAGGGAGGATTGGGATTTAAGGATTGTGCTAAATTTAATGACGCCTTGCTTGCCAAACAAGTCTGACGCTTACTCGAACACCCTAATTGCTTGTTCTCAAGGATATACAAAACTTGATATTTCCCAGATAACCTATTATTTGATGCTAAAAATAAACAACATCACTCATATGGATGGGCATTTATCCTTTGCGGCCTTGACCTTATTAAGAAAGGATCTAGGAAAATTATTGGCAATGGTGGTAACACCAAAGTGTTCAAAGATAACTGGTTACTAACTCATCCTCCTCGTGCAGCTTTTTCTGAACATACGAGCAGAGATCTTCTAGTCAAGGATCTTATTACAAGAACTGGAGATTACCAATGCTGGAACGACTCTATCATGACAAGTTGCTTGAATGCGTCCGACTATGCCCTTGCCAAAACACTTTACCTTGGACAACAAGGCATAAAGGAACAAATATGATGGAATTACACGAAAAACGGACAATATTCTGTCCGCTCTGGTTATCGGTTTTTACACCATCTACCCCAACACCAGATGGCTGCACCACCGATTCCATATGTGAATCC